GCTCTGGGCTCGGGTGCCATCACACACTAGAAGCATTTTTATTCCCTTGGTAAGCGTTACATAGTTTGGATCAAGTCATCTATAGGAAGAAGGGGACGTTAGCTTCACAAGACTTAATTAATTAACAGCACCACAGGGAGGAGATTTTAAGTTTCTTTCCATTTCTTAAGCCCATGGTTGCTGCCTCATGGCTGGACTCTTCCCACGGCTCTCAGAGCACCAGACTTTCTGCATTTCAACCTTTGTCAGGCTGTACATAAGGGACAGAGGCGGATAGGGGATCCTCGTTATCTCATACTCAAGGTATGACCTCAGCTCTCAGAGTGGGAATCACCCAGCAGGATCCGGGGAAGCCAGCGAGCTCCGTGTGCGCATACAACAGCCTCTCGTTAGAGCTGGCAGCGAGCAGCTCCGTACAGACACCGACAGGCGGGACGGCTCTGCACCACGCTGGAGCCCTTAGCGCAGCGCTCTGCCCCACGCAGAAAGAGCTCCTGCAGGAGACGATGGCTTCCCCTTCCGATTCTCCTTTCACTTGCAAAACGCCTCCCCCACAGGCAGACTCGAGGGAATAGGAAGCCTCAGTCGCTGCCTGACGCTGAGCCCAGCTCCCACTGAGCGCAGGACGGAGAAGACCCCCACGGCACAGCCCCACGGCACAGCCCCGCCGTGCTGGAACCTTTCTCCCGACCACAGCCCCTGCTCCGCAGCCGACAGCCTGAGGCCCCAGCGCGTTTTGGGGATGTCACCGTTGCCCTCAAACAGGCACTCGGTGGGGAGGGAATCGGTTGCCTGGCCCCTCTGGAGCGGCAAATCTGCAGAGCAAGATGCCGTGGCTGCAGTCACAGGTATCATGCGCTGCCCGTGGCAGAGCCCTCCAGGAGCTGACGCTGAGCCTGCTGGCTTGAGGTGGTCCTGCCAGGGAGGAACCGCAGATGGAGCTGTGCACCACTGGCCTCTCCTGGCAGGAGCCCTTGCACTGCTCCAGCTGCTCAATCCAACACTCCAGGCATGCAAGGGAGCAGCCCTGGGGAGAGGATGACACACAGCAGGCTAGAAGTCACAAGGGCCAGAGGATTCACGGTGGCTGAGCAGCCAGCCAGCTCGGGTGAGGCTCTGCTGCCCATTTTGCCCCGACAGGACTGGAAGCCATGCCTAAGGATGCAGCAGCACTGCGGACACACTCCTGCGACCCTGCGCCCACAGCCCCAGCTATGAGCCCAGCCCGCGGCAGCGAAGCCCAGACAGCCTCACCTTCTATGAACCTCCTCCAGCTCTTTGTCCTTCTCCCGCACTACCCTGTCCAGCTCCAAGCGCTGCCGGGTTCTCATCTCTGCCATCTCTGCCTTTAGCTGCTTGTTCTCCTCCTCTGTCCTCACCAGCCTGTCAGCAAACTCCTGCCGGATCACTTCTGCCAGGCTGCTCCGCTCCTGGGCCAGCTGGTCCCTCACCTGCAGCAGGGCAGAGAGGCGACACCAAGGCACTGGGCAATGCAGGGGGATGAAGCCAGGCAGGGCACGGAGCAGGGAGCCCCAGGCTCTACTCCTCACCCACCTTCTGGATCTCCTCTACCTCCTGCTCCTTGTGCTTCAACAGGCCCTGCAGACGAACGCTCTCCCCTTCCAGCTCCGCCAGCCGCCCCTTCAGCTCATTGCAGCGCTCCTGCAGCTTCCGTTCAGATCTCTCCAGCTCCTGGAGCTCCACCTCGTACTTGTCTCGGATCCTCTTAATCCTAACAGGAGGAAAGGACAGGCAGCCTGGCTCAGCCCGGCGCTGCAGGGACCATCCCCAGCCACCTTCGTGCTGCAGGGGGGATCTGCCCCACAGGAGATCCAGGGCCATTTCCTCAAGCGAGACGTAAATTTCGGCCCTGCAAGCAGCTCCTTCCTGCATTACTGCTGCTCACACCCGCAAGCTGCAGTGTCCAGAGCTCACTGGAGATGCACAGGGCTCGGGGGGGACAGGGGAAGAGGACCAGCTCCCCTGAGGAGCTGAGACTTGCAGGCTCCCTCCTCCCTCTCCCTCCCACCTGTTCTCTGCTGCCCTCTCGCACTCCTCCTTGGCCGAGGACATGTCTGCCTCCAGGCGCTGGATCACCAGCTCGATCTCTTTGTCTCTCTCCTTCCTCACCTCTTCCCGCAGCTCCCGTTCCCGGGAGAGCAGCCAGGCTTCCTGGGGACCGAGATGGCAAACACGCTGCCTCAATCCCGCTCAGAGCCCGAGGGTGGCACCTTTGGAGAAGGGCAGCCCTGGCTGTTACCTCCTTCTTCATGTAGCTCGCCTCCCAGGCCTGCTTCTCGATCTCCAGTCGGTCCTTCAGCACCTTCACTTCTGCCTGTGGAGAAACAAGAAAACAACCGCTCAGCTCTGGCAGCCGCAGCATCCCACACCAGCTGGGAGTAGCCCCCCGTCACTGCCCCAGTGGGGGTAGGGGGCTCAAACCCGTCCCCGCAGCCACGCACCGGGGACTGGACTGCTCGCACCCAAGAACAGCAATCCAGGGCCCAGAAGTAAGGGGAAAACCAGACCTGATGCCGCTTCTCCTGCTCCTCCTTCTCCTTTGCGTACTCCTCCTTCAGCGCCCTGGTGACGGCCAAGCTGCTTGCCTCCAGCTGCCGTCGCAGCTCCTCCGCCTCCGCTCTCTGCCTGCCCGCACACAGACCGCAGCTCCCAACATCTGCACTGGCCCAGCCTTGCCACTCCCTCCTCGGGCTGCTCCCCCTTAGCCCTCCTCAAACACCAGCCCTCTTCCCACCGGAGCCTGGCCTGAGGAAACTGGCCCCATCGTTCCCAAGCTCAGGGCTGCCTCTGGCCTTCAGTGGCCATGCTGGCCCTGCTGCCGGCCCTCTCACCTGGCCGCTTGCTGGCTGAGCCGCTCCTTCTCCTCGGCCACCTCAGCGTAGAGCCGGTGTCGCTGCTGCTGCAGTGCCTGCTCCTCCTGCTCCAGCTGCTGCTCACACC